AAAAACAAACTATGGGAGGAGATAAAGTAAAAATATTGTTTTCCTTACATTATCAAGATGCTATCAGCCTAAAATAAATTCCTTATCACTATGTTTTATGTAAGCCTTACAGAAATCACAAAGGAAAAGGAACCAAAGCATATCACAGTCTATGTGTGATAAACCTACAACTTAAATTACACTCAACAGTGGAAAGTTGAAAGCTGTCCTCTAAAATAGGAAACAAGAGAACTGCTCAGTCTTACCATTTCTACTCAACAAAGTAGTGGAAATCTAACCAGAGCATTAGGTAAGAGAAGGAAATAAAAAGCATCAAACTGAGGTGGACACCTGTAATCCCAGCTACTTGGGGGGTTGAGGTAAAGAGGATTGCAAGTTCAAGAACTGACTTACAAGAAATGCCAATGGGAACTTTTCAAGGTAAAATAAAAAAATTTTGAGACTGTTTCTTAAAATAAAAAATAAAAAGGTCTTGGGATGCAGTTTAGTCGTAAAGCACCCCTAGGTTTAAACCCCAGTATAAGAAAAACAAAACAAATGTCACAACAATAACAACAACATCAAAATACTCCCAGAAAAAAATGAACGAAAAGAAACAAGACAACAAAACAACAAATAAGAAACCTCAAAATAAAGCAAAAAGCAACCAAATTGGAAAGTAAATAAACTGTTCCTGTTTGCAGATGACATGATTTTATATTTTCACCATCCTTCAGACTCACCAAAAATCTGCTAGAATGGGTAAACAAACTCAGCAAAGTTACAGGATACATTATCAACATGCAAACATCAGTAGATTTTCTGCACAAAACAAATTATTCAGAGAAGAAATTTTTTAAAATTCCATTTACAACATCTAAAAATAATTAAATTCTTATAAATAAATTTAATTAAGGAGGCAAATGATCTATACACTGAAAATCATAAAACATTGCTGAAAGAAAATGAAGATATTCCTGGATTGATATTTCTGCATTCAAAGAATTAATATTGCCAAAATGTCTATAATTATCCAAAGCAGTCCACAGATTCAATGCAATCTGTATAAAAATTCCAATGATAGTTTTTATAGAAATAGAAAAGAATCCTAAAATTTATACAGAATCATCTTAACAAAGGAATCTTAAGCAAGTAGAACAAACCTGGGAGCATCACACTACCTACCTGATTTTAAAATGTACCACAAAAGTATAGTAATCAAAATAGCATGGTACTAGGATAAAACAGACATACAGACCAATGGCACAGAACAGAGAACCCAGAACTATGTATTTTAGCTAACTTATTTTTGACAAAGATTCCCAGAATACACAATGGAAAAAAGACAGTCTGTACAACAAATGGTCTTAGGAAAACTGGATATCCACAGGCAGAAGAATGACACTAGACTCTTATGTCACATCACTTAAAAATCAACTCAAAATGGATTGTATAGTTCAACATTCAATCTAGAACTATAAAACTAGTATATGAAGAAATATGGAAAATGCTTCTTGATGACATTCTGGGCACTGATTCTGGATATGACCTAAGAAGGATAGGTATCAAAAGTAAAAATAAACAGGTAGTGTTACAGCAACCATAAAGCTTCTGCGCAGTAAAGGAAGCAGCACAGTAAAGAGTCAATCTACAGAATGGGAGAAAATATTTACAACGTATGCATCTAATAGCAGGGCTGATACCTCAGACACATTAGGAACTCAACTCAAGAGGAAGAAAAAAAAATAACACATGGACTTCCAGGAAATTCTGTTATTTGCAACTACATGGATGAACCAGGAAGGCTATTAAACTAAGTGAAATACACCAGGCACAGAATGAAAAGCACTTGGTGATCTCACTATCTATATGTGAAATGTGAAAGTTGAACTCAGAGCAGAGAACAGAATGGTATGGGGGTTACTGGGGTTGGTGGGAACAGGAGTTGGGGAGATGTTGGTAAAAGGATATAAAATAACATCTCAGAGTCTATTTTAAGTGTTTTCCATACAAAAAATGATAAGTATATGAGGTGATGCACATGTTGATAAGTACAATTTAGCCATTCCACAATGTATACAATTTTATAACACCATTTTTTTTACCTGATTCACATATATAATTTTTGTCAATTTAAAAATTTTAATAATAAGTAATGAATAGCTTTTCATAATTAAGGACAACTTCTTATAAAACGAATGGATCTCTCTTGAGTCTACCTATTGGTCTATTTCATTTTAAGTTAATGAAATGAAACCCAAATTGCTGTCTCCAAATATGAGAAAAAATTGTGTTCATCCTTAGCTTGTTAACTAAAAAGCAGCAACTTGGAACAAAAGCCATCTTGAAATACAGTTATCTAAAACATGAAAATTTGTACTAGCCTTTAATTCAAGATGCATGCCTCTAGGTAGAGATGAAATGAAATACTTATTATTTTATTAGATCAATTGCTTCAGTCTATAAGCTTCATTGTCAAATTTCAACTTTAATTTTTACAAACTGAAATGACATGGTTTTGAATACATCACTCTTAAATAAAAATTTTTGGTTTAATGCCACTGACCTCTACATATTAATTGGTAGGAAAATAAAAATTTATGTAATACAATTTATTATTCTACTTTTTGACTAATATGAACACTATTCATAAAATATGCTTCACTTTAATCAATTTCCATAATCTATTGCATCTTTTTTAAATATTTTTTTAGTTGTTGATTTTATTTTATTTATGTATTTATATATGGTGCTAAGAAACAAACCCAGTGCCTCACACATGCCAGGCAACTGTGTGCTACCAGTCCCAGCCCTACTGCATCTTTCTTTACACACATTAAATCTGAGTCTAAATTCTTGTAAAACTACTCCTTTGCCAATTTCATTTATGGAAGACAACTTCCTATGGACATTTCTGAACACAACTCATTTTTCCTTCCAGGCACTGAAGACACTAAGGGCAGGAAGTTAATTGTTTGTGTGTTTATGCTTGTTTTGCTTATCGACCGACTCTGTCTTGGTGGCTTGAAAAAAGTAAGGACATCTGATCTGGGAATAAAGAGGAATTGGTTCACTGGAGGCAGAGAGGAACCACCTCTGCACTCACAGATTGCTTCTACTCTACCAAAGTACAGCTTGGGGTTGGTGCACCACGTGTAAGAACAATTTCTCATTTCTCTCAAACTTAGTCACCACCAGCCAGGACAGAGGGTAGAGCTCTATAGGAAATTTTTAAAGAGGAAGCAAAGTCTTTTCTACTTGTATGTTTTTAAAAATATGCACATTGATAAATTATAGGTGTATGTGTTTTTAAGATACAAAATGATGATGCTATGATTTTTTTTTTGTTACATTGTGAAATAACCAAATTAAGACAACTAACTTATCGGTCACATCAAACAATTTACTGTATTGAGAACATTCAAGATCCAGCCTCCCAGTGACATTGAAATGTATAGTATTCAGCTCTTAGAAAAGACCTTACAAAAATCTGAGGCTTTGTACTCCTTGATTATTATCTCAGCATTCAACAGAATGTTAAAAATAATTATAGTTCAGCTGATGACTGAGAACTGGGTAGCAACTACTGGTTCCTAAAACTCAACACTGCCTTTGAACTTTTTGGAATCTCACAACCTTCTCTAACTGTATTCTGTTATTCCAAGGCTGACAGTTGGAGCAGTTTCTTTCATCTGTTTTTCCAATTCCTTCTGGTTTCCTATACTATAGAATAAAAAACTACTAATATCATGAAAACAGATATCCAGAAATGCCTAGGAAATACAGCCAGTTTGCTAGAGACTAGGAAAATAACTAGCAGCACTTCTATACCAGACTGCAACAGTAATGAGCATCTCCTAACACAGAATGTGAAGCAACTATCATCATTTTTGTTTCTGTTTTAACTGGTTCAATCAGATTTCCATGTATGAGAACCAGGGCTAGAGTAACAAATCATGTGAAAGGACCAATAGTACAAGCTGTTTCTCCTCCAGGACTAGCTAGATTCTTTATTGACCTTGAAGTTTTGATGACAATGCAGAATCACCACTTTAAGCTGAAATTTCCCTATCAATTCCATTTAGAAACTTACTACACACTTTCAGCAAAGAATTCAAATACCCTCCTCAAGAAACCCAATGTGCCGTCTGTGTGTGTGTGTGTGTGTGTGTGTGTGTGTGTGTGTGTGGTGATGGGGATGGAACCCAGGGCATTGCCCATCATGCTAGGCAACTGCTCTGCCACTGAGCCATTCCTGGAACCCTTAGTCTTATCTTTAATGCCATGTGACCAGCATAGAGCTGTCAGTTAGGCTGCACCATCTGAACTTCACACATTTGTTTTTAACATGTATGGGAACACCCTGGAGAGCACTGGGATTCATAATGCTTTCTTTAAAATAACTTAAAATTTAACTTTTATTTCTATTTAATTCATGTTGAAAAAGGAAAAATAAAGACATAAAGAATTTGATGCCTAATTAGTAAAGTATACTTTTATTTTGATTTTATGGAAAATAACTAGGGGCAGAAAAATGTCTGTGAGATATTTAGGCTGTGATTTTACAAGAGTGGCTGAGAGTAAGTGACACATCTCATTGCAACCCACAATTGTCTTCTTCTCTTAATCTTGTCTAGTTTTATCATTAAATAATTTCTGTATTTGGCTTGTGAATTCTTTGCTGAAAGTGTGTAGTAAGTTTCTAAATGTAACTTGTGAACTTAATATCTGCTTTGATTTTGGCTTTCTTGAGTTAGAAAAATACCAAGTTTTTAATGTTATGTCGATTGCCAAGTGAGGGGCAGTTGGTGGGAGAGCTTTTCAAGGAAGGTTGAAGCTCCTGGCAGGCAGCACTTAGGATTACAGATGCACTCAGATAAGAATATGGTTTCTACCTTGATTAGCACTCACTGGAAATTACCAACATGACAAAGAGCCTCTTTCAGCTTGACAAAAGCTTCCTGCATTTGCAATTTTGCAGTTCTGAGCCATGTCTTGTGGGGAGACACTCTTTCACTTACCTAAAATCATCCCCAACACAAGAGATTTGACAGCATTGAATTCCATCCCTGATGACAGAGTGGCTCTTCTCCTTGCATTCTGGTTAACCTATTAAACAGTCCACAAGAAGTAGACATGGAAATGTGAGCAATTTGGATGATAAGAGGATGGGAATCAAGGGCAGGCCAAGAAAAATGACAAAGATAAGTGATACGTTAGTGCTATCAGAAAGGTGAAAGAAACCAACTTCAAACAATAGATTATCTAGAATGGAGAAAACCCTTTCTTGAACAATTTCAGTAATACATTAAGTTCCACTTGTCCTCACTGTCTCTCCCTTTTCCCTCTATTTTTATTCATGGTATAATCCGTAGGAAATGCAATAAGCTATTTTAAATCTCAAAGTTTAATTTACTCTGGTGCTTTTTCAAAAATAGATTCTCATTTTAAGCAAGATCTTGACCTTTTCCTTGTGTTTAAATTACTGTAGCATTTATTCTTTTGTATAAAGTGGGAATGGGTTTGTCAACATTCACTATCATAAATTAGATATTTCTCTATCAAGTCAAGTAAAACATCTGAGGACAGCTTTGCATTTTAAACTATTAGTACTTACTAACAATAGCTTTGATAATCTCATTGCTAAACAAAACACTTTGATTACATGTCTGTCCTAACAAGACTTAGAGAATAATAGTGCTAAATGGGTATTTCTGTTATTAAGATGTATTATCAAATTTTTGCTTTAACTCATACATTCTGAGAGCCACTGTTTTAATTACTGTTGCCATTGTTGGATTTACTATCTTACCTCTACAAAGACCACTGCAGCTTCTCTGTTAATCTTCACATTGTGAAGTTGCCCATCAGCCAGGTTTTTAAAATCAAAGTTAAAAACATCTGGCTCTCTGTGTCTGTCTAGCTTATACCTGATCTGCAAACTTCCTGAAAACAAAACAAAACAAAAAAAGACAGTTTTAACTAAAACAAAACTTTACAAAAATTGCCCACGCAGGTTCTAAATCACATTAAATTTTCTAAATACAATTTGAATTTATGGAGCATTTTTTTTGGTGGAACAATATATACTTCTCCGGGAAAATTGATCGTCTATGAGCTATTTTAGGGCCACATTCTAAATCTAGTTACTATTTTAAAAGTTAATATCAAATGGATTATAATGAGCAATCTCCTTTCCAACATCCTCAATTTTCCTTAACTAAATGAAAAAGTTTAAGTTGAGCATATGAAAACTCTGAGCCAGGCTCTAAGTCAATTATTAATGTGATAGTCATATTATTAAATGGTAAAACCTCAAGCAATACTGCATTAATGTTCAGGTTCTTTAACTTCTTTTAATCTGATTTCACTGCATTTTAATGTATTGTTGATGTTTGCATAATTAATTTTTTCCTTACGTGATCAGGATTTTTTCCCCTAATGTTTGTGCCATAAGAAAGAAATAGAGAAAACAGAAATATATTGTTTGTTGCTGTAACCAAATCTCTCATTCCACATACTGTGCTTCTTCACAGATGGAGCTCAATAATTCTCTTAATACTTATAATGAATCATGTGGTTTATGCATATCCATAGAAACTAGTTTAAGGTTGTTTGTTCTTCAACTGTGTACTCCTGAAAAAGCCTTAGCAGGCTTCAGCTGGGTGGGTCACTCAACTTTTTCATATACGCATGACACTAGTGATTTCTCAACTACTAATAGATAAAGAACCATCATAAATAAATCTAATAAAATCTAAAAAAATAAAAATAAATAAAAGAACCATCATATTTATTGGATGCTTATGGATATTGTCTTTTCTATGGTTTAAATATTTCTTTATTTTTTTTTCTTAAAGGGAACTGGAAATATTTTCCATGTATTAAACAAGATATTTCAAAATGAACTACAAAACTCAATTCATACATAGAAGCATAGGCCCTCGGGCAATCACAGGAAGCACAGTTTTACACCAAACCCATAAAATAATCAAACGTTTATGGGAGAAAGGCATCTTAATTTAATTGTTGAAATGTTAACTTTTGCTGTAAACATTTGGGGGTATAATGAAAAATAAAGCAACTGTAGTAAAGCCTGGTTTGTGGCTGGATCAGAAAGGCCTGTGGCTTTATGGTCACATTTTTCTAACTCAGTTTCATGGTTCTCATACTCACCATTGGAGGCAAGGATAACTGAAAGGTACTCCTCATAGACAGAGCTCACAAACAGCAGCAGGCTGGGAGTCCCCGTGGTTCGGAAGCTCAAGGTGACTATTTCCCTGGTTAGTGTTAGCTCCTCATGAAATAAAGCTGCTAAGGAGCTGGAGTTTCCATTGAAGGTGTAATTGTGATGCTCTTGAAAACTGTAGATTATGGAGGAACCAGCTCCAAAATAGGCAGAAATCTCTAGACAAAATTTTTGTTTTGTTAGTAATACATAAGTGCATACACTTGCTTTATGCACATTTTTTAAAAAACCTAATCGTTCACTATCCCAAGAGAGAAAATAATAATGGCATTTTTACTGTTTCATTTTACCTTTATAATTTTAAGGTTAAAAATGTATATACTCTTATTTATCTAATACAATATTACACATAGCTAACTCATTCTCTATTATTTTCATAACTTGATTTTGTAATGATAAATATTTCACTGTTGCCTTCAAAATGTTTCATCTTAGATTTACATAAAATTAAGTCTCTAGTCTAAACATATAATTCAGAGGTTTTTCCTCTCCATGGGTCATTTCACTGGCAATCCAGAAACGACTGCTACCAGAGCTAACAGAAGTAGCCAGCAGTGGCTTCTCAAAACAGATTCCTATCTCTTCCTGAATTTCACAGAGGATTTGGGACAGAAATTCTATTTCAAATCATCACATAGAGTTGCTTTCCTTTCTTTATAGCATCATATGCCAGAACATTCGTCATGTTGTACCTGAAACCTCCTTCTTGGCCACTTACCATGTGAGCAGAATGGGCCCTCATAGGCAGAGGATGTACAGTCGCAAGCCACTCCTCTGTGCCGTTCTTGACATCTCCCCCCATTGTGACACAAGTGTCCATAGCTGCTGCAGTGTCCTGCACACCCTGCCTCGACTCCTGGAGTCACCTTGGCTCTTCCCTCCAGGTCCAGAGCTATCCCATTCAACTGCAGAAACCGAATGCACCCCAGAAAGCCCCTCTGCCTGCTGGCTGTTCCACCTGCAAGGGAAACACTGTAAATGGCAGCACAGTTCCTCCTGTGCTATTGGCAAGTCAACATTCCACCTGAGGTCTTGTGGACAAGATCAAAAACCAGGACCTTTAAAAATGTTCTCTAGGAGATCCAAGATGGTGGGCTAGAGGAAGGCTGCATTCTGTGTTGCTCTGTGACCTGAATTCAAGTAGTGGGGAATACTGTTTTTCTGTGAGTTATTAGAGGACCCCCAACAGCTACGCCAGAACATCAAAGCACAGGTCCCTTGCTGCAAACCCACATAGGATCCTGGTTGTGGCTGCCTATGCGCAGGACCTCTGGCCACCATTCCTCTGTGCAATCCCATGAGGCTCCCCTGTTGCCTCCATCTTGGGACATTGTAATCACTGCCATAGTCCCTTACTTGCGATAGCCTGCACCTGGGGACACCAAACAGGGTCTGAAGACAGCCACCAGCCACAACACTGTACACCACAGAGCTGCATCCCTGAACATGACACTCAATGCCACTGCCCACCCTTGGGACACCTTTGTCGCCATCTTTAGTTGGGGCAACTCCTAGTTTGGCAAACCTGCTGGGTCCTAGAAGCAATGTCAAAGTACCTATAGTCCCCAACCTCCTCCTCCCCTGCAGCCACTAACCAGGCACAGTGCTTTCGGCTATGCGGCAAGCTGGCAAGCCTGGCCCTGAACTGCCCAATACAAAACAGCTCTCTAGGACAGGTGCGCAGCCCCCAGAGCACAGTCCATAAGATCTCTGGAGAGAGAGGTTCCTGATTGGGAAGTAGAAAGAAAGGGGGTGAGTGAGATACAGAGTTTAGAGAGTACATTAGATACCAGGAATTGTGAGGTCTATGGTCTATAGGTGATATAAGGAGATAAGACCAGGCACCTACATCACATGAGTAGGCCCCAAAGGAGATACTTAAGATGCTGTCTCCCACTGGGGACATGCAACTACTATATGCCACTTCCAGGAGCTCCGTCCCCAAGACCAACCCTCCTACCCTAATAATCTTCACTAGCCTAAGGGTGGAGATACCAGCAAACAATAGACAATCCCAGCTACTGGATGAGTAGGGAAGCAGGAAAGATACTGAACTCCAACAAAAACAATCCTTGTATTTTCCTTTGAGATTTTTTCTTTTCTCTTTTTTCCCCTTTCTCTCTCTCTTTTCCCACCTCCACATCCCCAACATTTGTGAAAATAAGTATTTTTCATGGATTAGGCTATTGAGGACTGGAATGTCTGTGTAGTATATGACAGTTGTGTTGTATATTCTTTTATCTCCTATTTCTACATTTTTATTTTTCTTAATTTTTATGGTTATTTGTTTTTTGTATTCTATTGTCTTCTCACTTACTAGTCTTGTCAAAATCACTTTCTCTCTTTTCTCCTGCTACTAGCCAACTAGATTCCTTTTTCAAGCTTCCTAAGATCTAATAAGTCTTTATATCCTTACCTCCTACCTCCTTAACATCTCATCCTATACCACACCCCCGTTTGGTTCTCTTTGTTCACCATCTGAAACTGTGGACCCTTTTGCAAACCTACTATTTATATTGTAGATAATAATTAAACTCAACATTTCTGCATATTGTGACTAACCCACAAATGTCTTAATAGTGGTTATTTGGTTCAAGGTTGTATATTGTTTGTAATGGGATCTGTTAATATTATTCTCCCCCTTAAAAGAGAGGTATTGGAACCCTGCAGGGACACTATATGCCTATAGGGTAAAAACTGTAACACCTTGGATCTGTAGTGCTATAAGGGAAGACATACAAACAACATGAGAAAACAAGGGAATAAAGTGCCCTAAACAAACCAAGATACTATATTACTAGAATTCATGGCCAGCAGAGCAGAAGAAATGACAGAGAAGGAGTTCAGGATGTACATAATTAAACTGTTCTGTGCATTAAAGAATGATATAAGAGAGCAAATACAGGCAGCAAAAGATCATTACAATAAAGAGTTACAAAGCCAATATAGGAAACAAAAGATTCCTTCAAAAAGGAGATGGAGGTTCTGAGGGAAAAAAACAGAAGTCCTTGAAATGAAGGAAAAAAATAAACCAAATTAAAAACACAATAGAAAGCATCACCAACAGGTTAGATCATTTGGAAGACAAAACCTCAGACAATAAAGAGAAAACATATAATCTTGAAATAAAGTTGACCACACAATGAAACCATGAGCAGAACATTCAAGAATTATGAGATAACATAAAAAGACCAAATTTAAGAATTATTGGGATAGAGGAAGGCATAGAGTTACAAACCAAAGAAATGAACAATCTATTCAATAAAACAGAAAAATTTCCAAATATGAAGGATGAATTGGAAAATCAAATACAAGAGACTTATAGGACACCAAATGTACAAAATCATAACAGATCCACACCGAGGCACATTATAATGAAAACACCTAGCATACAGAATGGGAGAATTTTAAAAGCTATAAGAGAAAGGAATCAGATTACAAATAGGAGAAAACCAATTAGGCTATCTGCAGATTTTCCAACTCAGATCCTGAAAGCTAGAAGATCCTAGAAAAACATATGCCAAGCTCTGAAAGAAACCAAGAATCTTATATCAGCAAAATTAAGCTTTAGATGTGATGATGAAACAAAAACCTTCTATGATACACAAAATTTTAAAAAATTTACAACCAGAAAGCCTGCATTACAGAACATACTCAGCAAGATATTTCACGAGAAGGAAACAAAATCAACAATAAAAATAAGCAATGGTAGGTTTTACACTAAAAGAAAAACCAATCAAAGGAAAAACCAAGTCAAGTTATATAGTAAAAATAAACAAAAGTGACTAGAAATATAAATCACGTCTCAATAATAAACCTGAATGTTAATGGCTTAAGCTCATCAATCAAAAGACAGACAGGCAGATTTGATTTAAAATAGACCCAACAATATGCTGCCTTCAAGAGACTCCTCTCTTAGAAAAAGACATCCACAGATGGAAGATGAAAGATTGGGAAAAAGATATCCCTCACATGGACTACAGTAAGAAACAGGGGTTTCCATACTCATCAAATAAAGTAAACTTCAAGCCAAAGTTAATCAAAAGGAATAAAGAAGGATATTATATACTGCTTAAGGGAACCATACATTAACAAGACATAACAATTATAAATCTATATGCTGCAAACAATGGAACATCTATGTTCATCAAACAAACTCTTCTCAATTTCAAGAGTCAAATAGACCACAACACAATAATACGGGGTGAGTTTAACACACCTCTTTCACCATTGGACAGACCTTCCAAACAAAGGTTAAACAAAGAAACTATAGAACTCAATAATACAATCAATTAGACTTACCATACATATATAGAATATTTCATCCATCAATGAGTGAAATACACTTTCTTCTCAGCAACACATGGATCCTTCTCTAAAATAGACCATATATCATGCCACAAAGTAACTCTTAGCAAATCCAAAAAACAGAGATACTACTCTATATTCTATCAGATCACAATGGAATAAAATTAGAAATCAATGATAAAATAAAAAATAGGAGCTACTCTAACACCCGGAGACTAAATATGCTATTGAATGAACAATGGATTGCAGAAGACATTAAAGAGGAGATTAAAAAGTTCTTAGAGGTAAATGAGAATACTTATACAACATACTGAAATATCTAGGACACTATGAAGGCAGTACTAAGAGGAAAGTTATTGCATGGAGTTCATTCCTTAAAAGAAGAAAAAGTCAACAAACAAATGATTTAAAATTACATCTCAATACCTTAGAAAAAGAACAAACCAAAAAAGTAGAAGCAGGAAATAATTAAAATCAGAGCTGAAATCAATGAAACTGAAATAAAAGAAACAATTAAAAAATTTGACAAAACAAAAAATTAGTTCTTTGAAAAAAATAAATAAAATTGATAAACCCTTAGCTGTGCTAACGAAGAGAAGGAGAGAGAAAACTCAAATAACTAACATCCATGATGAAAAAGGAAATATCAAAATGGACACTACAGAAATACAGAAGATAATTAGCAATGATTTTGAAAATTTGTACTTCAATAAAATAGAAAATATTGACAGCATTGACAAATTTCTAGAGTCATATGATTTGCCCAAACTGAATCAGGATGATATATACAAGTTAAACAGATCAATTTCAAGCAATGAAATAGAAGATGCCATCATAAGCCTACCAACCAAGAGAAGCCCAGGACCAGATGGATACATAGCTAAGCTCTATAAGACCTTCAAAGAAGAACTAATACCAACACTCCTAAAATTATTCCATTAAAGAGAAAAAAAGGAAAAAAAATTCCAAACTCATTCTATGAGGCCAGTATTACTCTGATTCCAAAACCAGGCAAAGACACATCAAAGAAAGAAAACTTCAGACCATTATCTCTAATGAACATAGATGCAAAAAATTTTCAATAAAAATTCTGGCAAATCTAATACAAAAACATATTAAAATGATAGTGTACCACAATCCAGTGGGGTTCACCCCAGGTTGGTTCAGCATATAGAAATCAATAAATGTAATTGGTCACATCAATAGTCTTAAAGATAAGTACCATATAATCATCTCAATATATGCAGAAAAAGCATTCTAAAAATATAGCAACCCTTCATGTTCAAAACTAGAAAAACCAGGGATAATAGGAACCATATCTCAACATTATAAAAGCTATCTATGCTAAGCCCAAGGCTAACAACATTCTAAATGGAGAAAAATTGAAAACATTCCCTCGAAATACTGGAACAAGACAGGGATGCCCTCCATCACCACTTCTTTTTTTCCTAATTTCTTTATTTGTTTTAATTAGTTATAAATGACAGTAGAATGCATTTATATACTTTGATATATCACACATAGATGGAATATAATTTCTCACTTTTCTGAGTGTACATGTTGCAGAATCAATGTTGCTCATGTAGTCACATATATACATACAGCAATAATGTCTTTTTCATTCTACTATTTTTCCTATCCTCATATCCTCTTCCCTCCCCTCCCATCACTTCCCTCTACCTAATCTAAGGTAACGCTCTTCTTCCCTCGTGCCCCGCACCGTAGTATGAATTAGCATTTGCCTATTAGAGAAAACATTCGGCCTTTGGTTTTGTTGGATTGACTTATTTCACTTAGCATATTCTCCAATTCCAACCATTTACTGGCAGATGCCATAATTTTGCTGGTAGGACTGCAAATTGGTGCAACTACTATGGAAAGCAGTATGGAGATTCCTCAGAAAATTGGGAATAGAACTACCATTTGACCCAGCTATCCTACTCATTGGTTTATACCCCAAAGACTTAAAATCAGCATACTATAGTGACACACACACATCAATTTTTACAGCAGCTCAATTCACAATAGCTAGTCTATGGAACAAACCTAGGTGTCCCTCAATAGATAAATGGATAATGAAAATGTGGTGTATATAATCTTTTACCACTTCTATTTAGTTCTTGAAACTCTAGCCATAGCAATGAGACAGATGAAAGAAATTAAAGGGATACGCATAGGAAAAGAATTCAAACTATCACTATTTGCTGATGACATGATTTCATACCTAGAGGATCCAAAAAATTCCACCAGAAAACATCCAGAACTAATAAATGAATTCAATGAAGTAGCAGGATATAAGATCAACACCCATAAATCAAAGGCATTTCTATACATCAGTGACAAATCCTCTGAAAGAGAAACTAAGAGAACTACCCCATTTACAATAACCTCAAAAAATCAAATAAAAATAAAATAAAAAACTTGAGAATGAACTGAATGAAAGAGGTGAAAGACCTCTACAATGAAAACTATAGAATACTCAAGAAAGAAATTAAAGACGACCTAAGAAGATGAAAAGATCCTCCTTGTTCTTGAATAGGCAGAATTAATATTGTCAAAATGACCATACTACCAAAAGCACTATACAGATTTAATGCAATTCCAATCAAAATCCCAATGACATTCCTCATAGAAATAGAAAAAGCAGTCATAAAACTCATCTGGAAAAATAAGAGACCTAGAATAGCCAAAGCAATCCTTAGCAAGAAGAGTGAATCAGACTGCATCATGCCACACCTTAAACTATACTACAAAGCCATAGTAACAAAAACAACATGTTATTGGCACCAAAATAGACTTGTAGACCAATGGTACAGAATAGAGGACACAGAGACAACCACCAAAATACAGTTACCTCATACTAGACAAAGGTGCCAAAAACACTTATTGGAAAAAAGATAGCCTCTTCAACAAATGGTGCTGGGAAAACTGGAAATCCATATGCATCATAATGAATTAAGCCCCTATCTCTCACCATGCACATAACTCAACACAAAGCTGATCAGGGACCTAGGAATTAGACCAGAGACCCTGCACCTAATGAAGAAAAAGTAGACCTAAATCTTCATCATGTCAGATTAGGCCTAAACTATCTTAACAAGACTCCTATAGTGCAAGAAATAAAATCAAGAATTAATAAATGGGAGGGATTCAAACTGAAAAGTTTCTTTTCAGCAAAAGAAACAATCAGTGAGGTGAAGAGACAGCTTACAGAATGGGAGCAAATTTTTACCACATGCACATCAGATAGAGCACTAATTTCTAGGGTACATATAAAGAACTCAAAAAACTTAACATCAATAATAATAATAATAATAATAATAATAATAATAATAATAACAACAACAACAACAACAACCCAATCAATAAATGGGCTAAGGAACTGAACAGATACTTCTCAGAAGATGATTAACAAATTTATGGAAAAATGTTCAATATCTCTAGCAACTGAAGAATGCAAATGAAAACTACTCTAAGATTTTATCTCACTCCAGTCAGAATGGCCGCTAGAGAATGTGGGGGAAAAGGCACAATCATACATTGCTGGTAGGACTGCAAATCAGTGCAACCAATCTGGAAAGCAATATGGAGATTCCTTGGCAAACTTGAGATAGAACCACCATTTGACCCAGCTATCCCACTCCTTGGTTTATATCCAAAGACTTAAAAACAGCATACTTTAGTGATGCAGTCACATCAATATATATAGCAGCAAAATTCAAAAATAGCTAAATTGTGGAACAAACCTAGATGCCCTTCGGTAGATGAATGGATAAAGAAACTGAGGTATGTATACACAGTGAAATATTACTCAGCATTAAAAGAGAATAAAATCATGGTATTTGCAGGTAAATGGATAGAATTAGAGAACATTATGCTAAGTGAAGTAAGCCAATCCCAAAAGACCAAAGGCCAAATGATGCCGATACATAAGTGGAGTGAGGGGGAGCATGGGAAGCATGGAGGAACTTTGGATAGGGCAAAGGAGAAGGAGAAGGGAGGGGGCATGGGGGTAGGAAAGATGGTGGAATGAGATGGATATCATTACCCTAAGTACACATATGAAGACACAAATAGTGTGACTCTACTTTGTGTACAACCAGAGAAATGAAAAATTGTGCAATATATGTGTACTATGGATTGATATGCATCCTGCTGTAATGTATAACAAATTAGAATATATAAATTTTAAAAAATAAAATAAAAAAAGAAAAAATGTTCTCTAAACAAATGCAATTTTGAAAACATAATTGTGACCAATTGTTGAGAATTATTAAGCAGCACTGAATAAACCACTAATATAAATATATTTTTAAAAGTTGAAGTTAGTAAATATTCTAAAAACACTTCTTCAGGTTACATTTATTTTTTTAGTTATAGATGGACAAATACCTTTATTTTGTTTATTTTTTTATGTGGTGCTGAGGATGAAACCCAGGGCCCCCGCATGTGCTACGCCAGCGCTCTACCGCTGAGCCACAACCTTAGCCCTTCAGGTTACATTTTAAAAGATGTTTACATTTTTCCTTTATAAAACATGAAATAAAGATCCATGATCATATTTATTTATTGTTTGTTTGTAGATGGACACAATAACTTTATTTTATTTATTTACTTTTATGTGGTTCCGGGAATCAAACCCAGTGCCTCATGCATGCTAGGCAAGCACTCTACCACTGAGCCACAACCCGGGCCCCCATGATCATTTTTAAATAATTTAAATAATGTGTCTTGAAAGGTTATGTAGCTGAAAATCTCTAATTATATATGATGTGAACTTCTTTTTTTGAAGAACTCTCAGTACTAAAGCTGTGAAGAGAAACTGAGGAGGGAGCAATAAAGAGGACACAAGGGTGCAGCCATGAATGAGGACCCCAGGCTTACTGGCTGGATCCCATTAATCCAGGGTCATAGTGGTGTAACACAGCCTGAACACTATGCTCCTCTGTAATTTTCTTAACTCTCATGTGAGTTTAAGGTGATAGTTCTCAAACATGGAAGTACAGGTGTAACTGCAGAGCTTGTTAAAAAACACAAATCTCATACTTAGGGTACCCCATATCTGAACTTTCAACTAGCTTCTCAAGGCATTAGAAATCTTACTCTGTAGGGATGCTAATTCTAAGTGAATTTCATGCAAACTTGGCTTCAAGAAATTCCATTAATTTACCCTTAGGATTATAAATCAGAAAATAAAATTGTGTAAGCTGAGCTGTAGTTTGATGATTTGAAGTGAAGCTTTATATCAATAAGAACTAATTGTGCTTGAAGCCAATTTTTAAGGAGCCCTGGGTTGTACACCGCCCCCCCCCAACTCCCACCCCCACCACACACAATTGCTTAAATTCACTGAATAACATTAGATCCTCTTTGGTGTAGGTATATTCCAGCTTACTAACTTGTGATTTATATTTGTTTTTATTGAATTTTGTTTTCATTTACTTTAAAAGACATGAGAAATGACCAAGTGAGAGCTACTTGGTTAATCTGCTTACTTTCCAAATTAGAATAGAGTTGCTTGAAACGTAACGAGACATTTTTTTTCCTTGAGAAAAACAATAATAAAATGACAAATAAATAAAGGAAAGATTCCATTGTCCAGAGCTATCTCTTCCCCAACCTTCCATAGGGGGAATAAAACCCAAGGACTTCACCACTGAGATTCATTCCCAACTCTTTTTTTTTAAAAAAATTTTGAGACAGGGTCTAAGTTGCAGAGGCTAGCCTCAACTTGTGATCTTCCTACTTTGGCCTCACAAATCACTGGAATTATAGTCATGTGCTACTATGCACAGTTTGAGCTGTAATCTTTAAAGGATGGGGAACAAAGGAGTCAGACATGGTTTTGAACATGACCAATGTGAACACAGAGAAGCAGAAGTAGAATAGGACAAGGGAGGCCAGGAACATCTCGAGATGGGGGTGTTTCTTGCCAGGGACAGACACACTAGACGACTTCTGTGACATGGTCTCCTGTGGTCTGTTTTGAGGGTACACTGGAGGATTCTGTCCTAATTGCAAGGCAGGTTCTCTAATTCTACAGAGATTTAAAATAGGAGAAATAGATAAAAATGGCTAAATGTTCGATAAAATAGTATTGATGAGAAGTAGCTGAAGAAAATGCAAATTGGCTATTACATTGAGTATAAATTTGGAAATTCTAATTGGGTCAGTTTGGGTTTCTGTGGTTCAAGTCAGTCAATCTCTCTGAGGCTGCATTATCTTCTCAGTAAATTGGGCAAAACAGCATCTGTAAAAGGAGATATTAAATATTAAATATGAAGGTCTTACAAATAGTGCTGCAGTCTCTATTGTCATCATTGCTGTTATTGCTAATTTTTTTTTTTATATCAGCGTTTGAACTCAGGGGAACTCAACCACTGAGCCACATCTCCAGTTCTTTTTTTTGTATTTTATTTAGAGACAGGGTCTTAGCACCTCACTGAGTTGCTGAGGCTGGCTTTGAACTCATGATCCTCTTGCCTCAGCTTCCTGAGCTGCTGGGATTGCAGGCATGTGTCACCATGCCTGGTTTATCACTGCTTTTTTAAATTACAGTTTCTTTTGGTCCAGCTGCACTTAGAGCACAGCTCAGTTATAAACCATCAGTACTCACCAATGAAGAGCTGGCTGTTGAGCTGCAAGAGGAGGTGCCCACCAGTGGGGGCAGGTTGAAACTTTTGAGGGAGCTGATCCACTTGGAGAGATGCTTCTTTAACATTTCTTTCTGCCTTCACGTGGTGCCATCGGTTGTCATTAAAGGGAGTGGGTGACTGTACTGTGACTTCACAAGGACCATTCCCCACATCAAAGGAGAAGGTCACTTCTGTGGGAGCTGGAAATTATAGATATGAAAGTTTCTCAAGTTAATTCAAAAGGGAGAAAATGTAATCCTGAGTGGACATGAAAACAGTATTGTGGCATGCTCATAATGAATAGGGCAGTGATGCAGGAAAGAATTACTTAGAGTTGGTTAGGGGGGAAAATAAATTTGAATCCTGGAGAAAGAAAAACAAAACTGATTTTAATACATTCTTTCTCAGAGTTTGTTATGGTTGAGATATGAGATGTCCCCCAAAAGCTCATATGTGAATCAATACAAAAGGGTTAGAGGTGCACTGATTGAGTTATGTGTTAATCAATGTGTTAATCCATTAATAGGAATTAACTTGTTGGCAACAGTAGGCAGATAAGGTGTGGCTGGAGGAGGAAGGTCCCTGAGGACATGCTTTGGGGGTTTATATTTTGTTCTTGGTAAGTACAGCTCACTCTCTTTGCTTCCTGGTGCCAGGTCCTGAGCTGCTTTCCTTCTCCACACTCTTAGGCCATTATGTTCTGTCTCAACTCAGGCCTCAAGGAATGGAGTTGGCCATCTATAGACAGAGACCTCTTAAACAACGAGCCTCCAAATAAACTTTTCCTCCTCTAATTGTTCTTATCAGGTCTTTTGGTTACAGCAGTGAAAAAGCTGACTAAAACAGAGTTTAATTGCTCATCTTGCTAAGCTCTAAATAGCAGACATTTACCTAGAGAAAGAAATCTAGCATGTGATCTGGCTTCACATAAATGATTTTGCTTAAAGGTGATTTACAACTTCATATAATTTAAAAAATCGTAAGTGAAATCTTTGACCATAAGAAATAAAGATTTGCACATGTGATTAAATAATGTGAGCAGTCAATTCAGTCAAATAATTTTTAATTTAGTAGAAATTAGTTATTTGACCAGTCTGATTTAATCTCCTGACTGCACACAGAAGTAAAGTAGCACCAAACCATTATAATCTATTGTATATCTCAGGAGATGTTGTTTCACTCTCTACCTGCTATAGTTTGGATAACACCCAAAGGCTCAGGTGTTATTAAAGTCTTGGTCCTCAGGGTAGTGCTATTGGGAAGTGGAACCTTTGGAAGGCAGGACCTTCCAGGAAGGTCTTTAGGTAATTGAGAGGGCATGGCCTTGAAGAGGACTGTGGGGCCTTAGCCCTTTCCTCTTTCTCTGTTTTTCCTGGCTCAGGGGCAAGCACATGCTCCCATGATGAAATACTGCCCTCACTAGAGGTCCAATACTATATAGCCACTCTATTTTGGGCTGAAACCTCTAGAACCATGAGCCAAAATAAACCTTTCTAAGTTAACTGCCTTAGATATTGTTTTATAAGGATAGAATGCTGACTTCTTTAAGATAAAAGAATTTTTTTTAAATAATAGAATTTTGGTATTTATAAAAGTATACTTGATAAGGAAGCATGGCAGCAGATTAGGAATGAGAATACTATAGGTTTATTGCTCATTACTGAGCATTCTGTGGCTTTGTCTCAGTGGCAACTCACCGCGCAGTTCTAGTCTGATAAAGTCTGTGATACCCAGGTTCTCTACAAACACCCCAGAAGAAGCTGTTGTCTTAAAAAAGAAAGACACATCAGCACTGAGCTCTCCACGGAATGTAGGGAAATGAAGATACGAAGTCTCAGTATTGAATGAAGCTGAATTCCAAAATGAATCTGTTTATTAAAAAAAAAAAGAGTGAAAGTAATAGTGAAACAAAACAATACTTGCATTTTATGTGTCTAGCATTTATTTTTACCATTAAATGCATTACTCATCTATGGAAGTCTTCATTTTGAGGTTCTTCTGGACATGAAGCCATGATATGAATATCCAAAAGGTGATTACTTGGATCATTAAGATTCTGGACATGGATAACTGAGTAGAATCACTATGGAAATGGTCTTTATTTTTAAACACTTCTAATTTAAGGAGTAAAAATGACTTTTGATTTTGATTTTAATCTGCATTGATTTGTGTAACTTTTACCAAAATTGAGAGATCTCCCTCTTGATAGCTATCCCCTTAAACTCACATCCTTTCTTCCTCATCCCTTTATAGTTTGCCTTTTCCAAAGGTCGTATAAAGAGTGATGCAGTTTTTAACATTTCAAGATTGGCTCCTTTCACTCAGTATAATGGCTTTGAGATCCACTCACATTGTTGTACATATAAATATCTGCTTCTTCCTCCTACTGACTTCTCTAATGTAGATATGCTATCATTTGACCAACCTGAAGAACATTGAGCATCATTTCCAGATTTGGGAATAGAGCTGCTATAACATTTGTGTACAGTTTTTCTGGTGAACATAAGTTTTCATTTCTCCAGGTTAGTAAATACCCAGCGTGGAATTTCTGGATCATATGGTAGGTATGTATTTAACTCTAAAACAAACTGCCAAACAGTTTTCTCGAGTGGCTGTACATTTGTCATTTCCGTCAACAATGTATGAGTATTTTTACATCCTCACACAGCACTTGGCATTAGAAGTTTTTGTTTGTTTTTTGGCAATTCACATTGGTGTGTTGTGGTATCAATTTGCCTTTCCTAATGGCTGATGTTGTAGAATGTCTTCTCATGTACATCTGTGCTATCCTTATATCCTTTTTGATGAAGTGTCTCCTCAGTTCGGGGAGAATCAACATCTTTCCTATATTGAGTTTTCCAATCATGGACACAGTATGTGTCTCCTCTTATTTATATTTTCTTGATTTTTGCCTTCAGTCTTTTATAGATTTCAAGTAAACATGTTTTGTTGCATGTCAGTAGGGTGGGTTGTGTGTGTGTGTGTGTGTGTGTTTAAATTCCTTGAGATTTTCTGTGAAAACAGTCATATAATTAATATATATATATATATATATATATATATAATTTTATTTATTTCAATCTGTGTATGTTTATTTATTTTATTACACAATTGCAGGCTTTGTCTTGTTCTCAATCTCAGGAGAAAACAATTCAGTTTTTTACTACTTATTACAATGCTAGCTTTGTTTTGTGTAGATATTCTTTCTTGAGCTAAGAAAGTTCTATTGCTGTTTTGCTAAGCATTTTATTATAAATTATTATGCTGCATCAGTTATCATGATAATTCAAATTATCATTTAATCAATTCATTCAGAATAAAACCTTGACATGTGATTTTTATTATCTAAACTATTAGTCATAACATTCAGAAACACTAGGACTTTCTCCCAGAGCAATTCCTTGTACAGGCCCCATGGAGAACCTTGGGTCCCATAGGCTCCACAGAATTTCTCTGTCTTAGAGGTCAGCATTGCTACTGGGGCCTTGGTGGACCTCTGATTCAGGCAACATTGGAGAGTTCTGGGCAGAGGACTTACATGACAAGACTTCATTCACACTGGTGGTTGTGCTGAGAATAAGCCTGAGTGAGCAAAGACAGAGGCAGGCAGAACATTTCAAGAATGGAACAATAATCCAGGCCAGGTAGCAACGGAAGTGGTGAGGTGTGGTCTCAGTTTAAGGGGTGATGAGAAGAATGGAATTGTCACGCACTGGATTGGGGAAAGTTGTAGAAATTATTTTCTTTCCCACCCCCTGCTTTGTCAGGGTGAATCTGAAGCATCTATTAAGGCACAAGCAGAGGTTCATCGTCCAGTCAGGTGGGCAAGCCTGAAGCTCAGTTATTGGGCTTGAGGTATAAAGGGGGTTACTGAGTATTTAAAGCCAAGAGACTGATGGGAAGAGATCATTCTCATGCAGAGAAGGACAAGGTCAATGAGGGGAACAATGAACATCCCAACATGAGCCTATCGGTGAATATAAATACTGGAGGGAGGAGGGAGGGAGTAAAATGCAGACTTTGTGGTATGTTGGTGGCCTGGTAAGGAAAGTGAATTAAAAAGTGAATCATGATGGAGTCCAAAGTGGCTGGCCAGTCCATTAAGAGGAAAACTGAAAAATAATAATTGGGTTTATCACACTGGCGACCTGGAAGAGAGCAGTGTGTAGGGAGGGAAGAAGGACAAACCTTGATGGAGTTTATTTAGAAGAGACCATAAGGATGGAAATGAAGATAGAACACATGTTTTTTGTTTTTCAGAAAGTTAAGATCATCAAAATTCCTGGGTAACATTCAGAATTAATTAATATTTAATGGGATTAATTAATACCATAGAATTCTGCCTATAATGGGCTCTGCCCTTTCATTTTCTCATTATCTTCTGGATTTTAGGCATATCAGTACTCATCAAAGTACTTGTACTTAAAACTTAGTAGGCATGTATAGGCTGAGCATACATAATCAAATAATCCGAAGTCTAAAATGAATGAAAATCAGAAACTTTGAGTATTGACAGAACAAGTAGAAAATTTCACCCTGACCTCATATGGTAAGTTGCAGTCGAAATGCAGGTGAACTAAAAAGTATTGTGTTAAATCAGTGCCATGTGCATAAGGTCATAAAAAGCATGAATGAATTTAGTGTTTAGACTTGGGATTCATTTACAAGATTTCTCATTATGTATATGCAAATATCCTCAAATCCCCGATTCCCCCCCCCCGAAAAAAATCAAAAACAAAAACAAAACCTGAAATCTAAAATGATTTTAGATTTTAGGTCCCAAGAATTTTAGATAAGGGATCTAAAAGGAATAAAACTTTGCTGCCTTAAAATTAGTAAGTGGGATAAGGTATAGAAAGTGCTGCCAAGCATAGTGGCACATGTCTGTAATCGCAGAAGAACTGCAAATTTGAGGCCAGCCTCAGCGATTCAGCAAGACTCTCAGCAACTTGAGACCCTGTCTCAATATAAAAAATAAAAGGGGCTGGGGACATGGCTCAGTGGTAAAGCACCCGTGGGTTCAGCCCCCAGTACTGGGAAAAAAAAGAAAAGATAAATTTTGTTAACCAAGTAACAAATTATTTCAGATGATTCCATTAGTCTTTACATCTGTAGTGTTATTTGAATATAGCATAAAAGAGTCAGAACCCAAAAGTAATATAATTTCTCTTTTTTCTCCATTATCATTATTTTTCTTTTTTATAAGTTAATACATTCCTTTGAAATACAGATTACTAAAACAGATAGTCTTTTCATAAACCCATGCATTATTTGATCCCTCTGACTGCTACTTACTGTCCCCTCGGCAGAGCAGAGGCCCCAGGGTATAAGCTGCTTCAGATTGTGGCCGGCCTGCATCTGTCATCATAACCTGAGTGACTGGCAGGTGCTCCTTATGGGAAAGGACTCCTGTGTCACTGGTCCTAGGAAATAAACAAAACCATCTCAACTTTATTCTGAATAACATAAGAAATTATAGTTTTTTATTGCAGTTCAAGAGGTATTAAGCAAATTTGTAAATACATATAGCAGGGAAATCAAAATGCTTATCTTAACACTTAGAAGCATAAGCATATATCTGAGGACAGGAGGTCCACTGTTCATGCACCTGACCACGAAGAAGGAAGTGGACAGACTCATATGTGGTCTTGGGTGCAGGTGTGAGGTTGCATTCTTAAAGTAATTAAGTGGCTCAGGATTCTGGCCAAGTAAACTACTGTATAGAATTTAAATACAGAAGTTATGCAAAGAAGAGCAATCTGCTTTTACAAACACAAACAAGACAAAAGATACCTGAATGACAAGATTTAGAATTTAAATCCTCATCATTTTATTACAATAGTCTCCATTTATCTGTAGTTTCACTTTCTGCAAATTCAGTTACTCACGGATTGCCTTGTCGAAACATATTATTTGTTTTAACTCTTTCAAGGGAGAGAACGACATTTATTTAATTTTTATTACAGTATATTGTTATAATTATTTATTATTATTAATGTCTTACTGTGTCTAATTTATAAATTAAACTTTATCAAATATATATATATATATACATACATTTTATATACATGAAAAAACCACATGTATGTATGTAAATAGTATATATACATCTATCTGTACCTATACTGTGTTCATTACTATCTGTGGTTTCAGGGATCCATTGGGGTCTTCAAGATATGGGGGGGACTCTGTAGTAAAGCTTTAAAAAATTCCTATTGTGGTTATTAGGTATTTTCCTACTTGTTGACTCCATAAATTTAAAAACAAAAAATCATACTGACTCAAAACCAAGATGAAGGTAGGATATAACACTCTTAAAATTAACAGGAGGGATAGAAAGTCCTTTGTCAACCTTTACCACCATCCACTCATACAATAATCTCTTATTCAATATTTTCTATCTACCAGGCTTTGTGTGTTGGGTATATGGACATAAAAAACATTATCAGTGTCCCTAGGTATTCTAGTGAATATCATAAATGTAATGGCAACTATATTATTATTATGTAATGTAATAAGTGAGGAAACATTAATATCTATGTTTCCAGTACAGAAAGGACTAGAAAAGGAGCCAGAGACCCTGGATGGTAAGCTGGCAATCAACAGCTTCCCCTCTGGGTAAAATAAGATTTTTCTATACTTTTTAAGCTGTTCATACTTTTTATTGCAGACTTCAATTATATTTGCATTTATAATTTATGGACAAAAAAGCTTTTTGTCTAGTTTATCTTTCTGATGTCTCATATCTGTGTAGAATGAGTAACTCTTAATTCCTAAAGTTACAAAACTGTCACTTACTCCAGGATACACAAATTGAAGCACAGAAAATACCACTTTCGCAGGTAAAAAAAAAAAAAATCCAGGAATTTAACATGGTTCAACCTAATAGCTTTACAGAAATGAATCTGAATAATTTATTAATCATTCCAATTATATTTAGCTACCAAATATTCTTTTAAGATAGAAAAGTTAGAATTATTAAAACTTTTATTCTTTCTTAAAATTATTAATAAAGTAACTGGAAATGCATATGGTGTTATGAAAAATAGAAGATGAATATCCTGAAATTAAAAAAAAACGGTTTTATTGAATCAATTCATTTCAAAGTATCAGACTAAATAAGTAAGCCCCTGTGGTTCCTGCTAAACAGAAGCACACAAGCAGATTATAACAAGCACATCAATGTCTGGTTTGTCATAAATCAGGCCGTCAGAAAGCTAGAAGGTACCACCACATTATTGGGGGAGTCAGTCCGGGAACTTATTTTATTACAACTCTAGGGATGACCTGGCAAATTAAATCCTGTGATTGCCATTTAAGAGGAAAAATGTGTATATTAGTTATTCATTGAGGATCCTTGAATACAGAGGAACCATTCAAAACTATGCTTTCCAATGTAAGAGAAACTACAATTTAATTCTGTCTTCAATATTAACAATGTACATACAGAATTCTGAAAATCCATAAGCAAATAATAATACTTGTAGTATATATTAGAACAGATTTTATAACAGTTTTATTGTTTGTAAAGTACTTTGGTAAATGCAGGAGTTTTTAACAATTTTATTTAAAATTGTTCTCATTAGTACAGGGCATTCTCAACTACTCATGTCTTATGCATGATACTAATTGTCATGGTCACCAGACTCCTTAAAACATTCAGTAAGATAATTTCCAAACCCTTTTGTTTTTGATTTCTAATGCTCTATAAATAATTCTTACCATTCACTGTTTCAAAGGACTTATTTTTGGTGGTAAAATAGAACTTTGACTATTTTGTGATACTGAGAAAGCTACAGGGGGAAAATGGTAGGTCAAGTTTCATAATTCACAATGTCATAATTCACAATTATTCCAGTAAAAGAGGGGTGGGAACCACATAATTATCATCTAGAATTACAATAATCTGGCAGCGTGGCCTCTCCGTTGACTTTTACTCTTCCATCTGCGCATCATTAAAATAAAGCTTCGCGTTTGGTGTGTCAGGTCTTCCCACCTGGTTTCCATATTCATCATAGTCCTAGCTTCTTGTTCCCCACTGTTTATATAAAGTTTAGAGTCATGTTGAAAAAAATCATGAACAAATATTTGGCAGTGGTTTGAAATTAAACCAAAAAAGCACTTGAGGGAGAGGTACCCAGTTTTCTCATGCATGGCAATAGAATCTTATTTCCATTTATTTAGGTCTTCTTAAATTCTAATGATCAAGTTTATGCTATCTTTTCCATAAAAAACTTACATACTTTTAAAAAAATCTTTATTCCAAGTTATCATTCCTTTTGTTGATTTTGCAAATAGTTTTTATAACATTTCTATGGTATCATGTTCTTTATAGGAATCCAGTTATTCTAAGATTCAGTAGCTTTATTACACTCCCATTAGTTTTAATAATTTTCTTTGATATTTGCAATCATACTGTTTATTGCTTGTAAAGAATCTTTCTTTCTTTTTTTTGCAGTGCTGGAGATTGAACCCAGGGCCTTGTGCATGCAAGGCAAGCACTCTACCAACTGAGCTATATCCCCAGCCCCCTGTAAATAATCTTTATTGAGTTGTTTCTAATCTTTGTTCTTTTGAATATGTATTTTTAATTTTTACTATTCACTTCTAACCAAGTTGCACAGAGAAACTGTCCATATGGTACTAACTCTTGTAAAAATGTTTGATGTTTGTAATCAGTTTGCAAAACTATGCCATAAGTGTTAGATAAAATGATGCATCCTTTAATTTTATGTGTATAACAAATCAAGTTATTAATTTGGTTTCAAAATAGTCTGTCTGCTTACTAATTATTTTCCACCTGTTTTACCAATTACTAATAGATGTGTATTTCAACTTTTTCCTATTGGGTAATTTGTGAATTTCTTCTTGCAATTCTTAGTTATTTTTATTACAAGTGTACTAGTTTAGAACTCTTGTTTCTTTCTGGTAAAATTTAAAAGTATGAACAGCTTTATCCAAAATTAGGGGTTTTTAAAAAATCTTTATTTTGTTGATTTATTTTTATGTGGTGCTCAAGATCGAACCCAGTGCCTCACATGTGCGAGGCAAGTACTCTGCCTCTGAGCCATAACCCCAGCCCCCAAAATTAGAGTTATTAAATTTGCTTACTTTTGTGTGTATTTTCCTAGTAATTTTTTAATATTCAGTTTCATTATTTCTGCATGTACAGATAAGATATGCTTGCTTTTTATTCAATTTGACATATCTAGATTTAAATGGACATTTTCGTCACACTCCTTGTGCATGACTATGATCTCACTCTGAATTTATTGTGTTGCTTGTTCTTTTTAAATCTCATTTGCTATCTTCTTTTTGATTAACTGAATTGCAAAATTGTTTCTTTTTTTCTACTTCCCTCCTTCTCTTTAGCATACCAGCCAACATTCCACCACTGAGCTACAACCCCAACCTCCCTAGTTTTTCCTTTCTTTCCTCTACTGATTTGAATTTATTAGTTCTATATTTATTCTTTTAGAGATTACACCTAAAACTAATGCACACTGGGAGCAATTTAAAGCTAATACCCCAAGTTCAAATTTCAATGATATTTTTACTTCTCAATATTCTTTTGGCTATTTTGTCAATTACGATCATCTTTGTTAATAGATTAGATGACTGCTTTCTCATGTTTTAATTCCATGTAGCTAGATGTGAAATGTAGCTATATATAAAATAGTTACATGTTCCTGGTGTCTGGTATTTATTTGGGGGACTCTGAGTTTACAAATTTCTTTTCTCAATATTTCTTTTTGCATCTGAGACTTTCCCTTTAAAAGGTCATTTTCTTTCTTTTTGAAAGCTGTTCTTCAGAACTTCCTCCTGTGAGGTGAGCTGGCAGTAAACTTCTCAGTATCTTATTGCCTGAGAGGATCTTCATTTTTATCACTCATTTTTTTTAAATTTTTTTTTTATTGTTGGTTGTTCAAAACATTACATAGCTCTTGATATATCATATTTCACATTTTGATTCAAGTGGGTAGGGAGCCTACATCATGGGAACAAATCTTTACTCCTCACACTTCAGATAGAGCCCTAATATCCAGAGTATATAAAGAACTCAGAAAATTAGACATTAAGATAACAAATAACTCAATCAACAAATGGGCCAAGGACTTTATCACTCATTTTTGAAAATAGCAGCTGAGCAAAAATTTTGAGATGGATAGTAATTTTATTTCCAATTATGAAGAGCTTGTTGTGCTCCACAGTTCTTTCCTTTCAGAAGTCTTTCTTCCATATCTGCTTCATTCAACATTTTTTCTCTTTTCTTTTGACGTTTTCTTTAATGTTCTTTAATTTCACCATAGTATGTCTAGATATGGATTTGCTTTTATTTATCCTGCTTGGTATTGCCGTATTTTCTCTAGTCTGGAAATTTCTTAGCTATTTGGAATATTGCCTCTTCCTAATTATGTCCCATCTTTAGAAACTTCAGCCAGACATGAATTCTCTCTTCTCTGCACTCCTTTCAGGGTTCCCAATTTGTTTCTCTCTGTGCTACCAGCCATGTAATTTGGTTACATGTATTAATCATTTCACCAGTCTTCAAATCACTTGTGTCCAATATTTGATCCAACAAATCTTAAAATTTTCAATAAAAACAATAATTTCATTTCCAAACATTTGTTTGGTTCTTTTGTAAATAGCAACTATCTCTATTAATAGTATTTGATTGTTTTCTCAACTCCATTGCTTATTTTTCAATCAGCTCATACATTTATTTTACATTTCTAATTATACCCATTATCTGGGACATTTACATTTCCAATTCTCCCCTTTGTGGTTTCTCTACCCTCCCACTTTCTTGTGTGTTTTGTAATACTGGAGTGTGAGCTTATACTTCAAGGCATTTTATCTGTGATAACCCTGTGATTCCTGAACTAAGGAGGAGGGCAGACCTGTAGTAAGAATATCTTGTAATTCTATGACAAGCTATTGGTGCTACAAACCTGTGGCCATGGTAATTTAATTCTGAAACCATCTTATATATTGCAATTAAAATTATGTATTGAATTAAAAATCTGTATGAGGGTGTCTAGACATGAGTTTTCTATCTCATGTGCTAACTGGAAGATTTGTCCTTATTCACTTTTTCATTGGGTTTGAAGCCTTTTGAGATCTCTAACTGTAGGGAAAATTTAGAGTTCTTTCCATGGAGCCAGGGCCTTTTCTGATTTCCCTCATGTGGCCATTTAAGGATTTAGGGGGTCAAAAAACAACTCAAGATCAGCCATGGAAAATCAATTTAACTTTAAGAAGGCTGATATTGTACTTCCACTTAATGTGAAACAATCTGGTATTTTCATTTTGTTTTATTAGAAAAATAAAACAGACATAATTATTCACAGATAAATGGAAAAAAATCATTTTCATATTTTAGGTCTTAGATGAATGATGTCATACACATCAAGACTTATTCTTTAACTTCTTAGGAAATTCTTTATTCTCCCTATTGTACTATCTTGTCTAATATCTGCCTAAGGTACACAGTTTAAGCAATTAAAAAAATTACAGTTTGCACAGGGAAAGCATGTGGAAATCACCATTCATCCTGGTCAGCATCACAGTTGCAGTGATATTGAGAATCAATGCAGTTCCCCTCTAATCCACAAGTACACTTTTGAGCATCAGGCAGAGAACCTCCCCAGTAAGTGTGTGTTTCATTGGTTCTTCCAACCCACCAGCTCACTGGGGTTCCATCTGAAAGACAAGTATGAGAAAGGTGACACCTACTTTGCCCCCCACTACCTGCCTCCCCATATCATTCCTTTATTCCCCTCAATGTTAAAAATAGACTATTTTAGAAGTGATCACATTTTTAACTCTATAAGAGGATAATTTTTTAAAGGACTCCTGAATGTTTTAAAAAAATTAATATTGAGAATTATTACTAATTATACATTATTAATTTATACATTGAATCTAAAATCTGTTTGAGATACTAAACTGCCATGAAAGAATTTGTTATGCAAAATATGGTTTCTTTTACTATTTTAATTAAAGTAACACTGATATTTCCTATTGTGTGTTAAAAATTCCTTAGGGACACATTTGTGCTTTTTCTTCTACTAAATGGCTTGGCTCTTAATTTGGAAACTGTGGAGATTCACATGCTTGAGGTGAATTTTGGGTTCAGAACAACTCTGAGCCAATTATATCTCAGTCCTCCAGCACCACTTGCTCAGAGCCACAATAACTCAGCCACAGAGTTGGAGGCCATCTCAACTCTAAGGGGGCTCATCTTGAGGCTAAGTCCAGGTGAGGATGAGGTGACTAGAAAGTGGGTGGTATGCAAGTAGGGAGGGGCACTTCCTCCTCCATAGAGAAGCAGGACTAGAGGGAAAATGGAAGTAACAGTAAATCAGTTGCAAAGATGCTTGTCATTTTCAGCATGCTCTTTCAAACCCATCAGCTGTCACCACTGGTTCACTACTGAGAATCTGAAATGGGACCTCTGTTCTCCCTAACTCACAAGCAGCATGATGACTCCCTGTTAGAGGAGTCCTCTGCTTCTGCTGACAACATCTTAGCTTGCAAACATACTAACTGCATTCATCATCACTCAGTCCAGAACCAGTGGTTGAGGCATGTGCAAAGAATCAGTATCAACCACCTTCTTCCTTTTTAAAAAGTGTTGCAAACTTATCTCTAGGGAGCAGAACTTTTAACAGATATTTGATAGATGTGTTCAAAATTCCACTTTAAAAAACAATTATTCAACATTCATTCTTTCACAGATTAACAGCAAAAAAACCATATATATATAAACAATTTTGTGTTTGTATTGGAGTTTATAATTTTATTCATAAATTAGGAACAAAAGAATGTTTTTAAAAGTACAGAATGTCTTTGGCTCCATTCAAGATTTATTTGAGTGACCAAGAGAATTTATATAGGGAATGATTTAAAAAGACATCAAAAGGAATCAGAGGCTGAAATGAAGAGGAATAAGTAAGGAATCAATGGACAAAGTATACTGTTCTACTTCCTCAAGTATTTTGGCCACAGGTAGAATTTTCAGTCACCTTAGTATTCATTCACAATGTGGTAACTGAATATTTTCCCACAGCATCAACACTGTCACACTTCCTTTTCAGCCACTCATGGTTGTATCCTTTGAAACTTTCTAATACAAAGACCTGGAAGATGCTAGAAGACAAAAAGTGTCTTTATAACACTGACATTCCCTATTTTGGCGGGGGAGGAGGAGGGATAGCGGGATTAAACTCAGGAGCACTCAACTACTGAGCCACATCCCCAGCCCTATTTGGTATTGTATCTAGAGACAGGGTCTCGCTGAGTTGCTTAGTGCCTTGCTTTTGCTGAGGCTGGCTTTGAATTTCTGATCCTTCTTCTTTAGCCTCCTGAGCCATTTCCCAGTGGCATGTGCTACTGCAAGAGGCTGACATTCCCTATTGTGTGTTAAAAATTGCTTAGAGACACGTTTATTCTTTTTTTTTTTTCTTCTTTTTTCCCTATGACATGGCTTGGTTCTTTATTTGGAACTGAGAAGACTCACCTTCTTGGTGCCTAAACTTTCCTTCCAGGTAAGTTGCAAAACCAAACAACAAATATACTACTAAACTATGGCCCATCTTGTTGTTCTCGAGTCTCTACTTGTGATTAATTGAGGTATTGGTTCCTAATACTTTCTGAGAATTTGTTTCATAAAAATTTCTGGAAATGAAATGGATCTGTATCTTGAATGCCATTTGCCCCTCTAACCTGATGCTATTTGCTCCCCCTATTTAAGTTTTTCTTGATGTTCTCACTCTGCAGCATTCTAAGGAAGGCTTTGGTTGACATTACACCTTCTGCACAAGGGCATCATCCATGTTCTGCATACCTATTTGCATTTATTGATGACACAAAGCCAATTAGTGTAATGATTTGAATGAACTGGGCTACGCTAGCTGCCTATCTTGTCTCTCTGGTTTAAAGCTTCTGAACATACATGGGTCTGTAACTGAATTTGTCTGAATTAAGTGTCTACTGAAAATTTTCCAGAGACAGAATGTAAGAAATTCACAAATTTTGAGTATCTATAATGTATTCCTTTTATTTTCTTTAGAAAGGGTTTAATAAGTTTAAAATTCTTTTCTCTGTCCTTCTTTTGTCCTAAGCCCAATAAAACACTTATTTGTGTCACTCTTGTTGTTTGAAATATTTATATGGAAAGGCAACAATCAAATAAACATGTGCAGATCACTAGAAAAACACTACCTCGTCAAGTAGAAATTCTTTACTATCTAGGCAATTCTCCACTTCTGGAATAGACCATATGATGGGAATACATGAGTTTTAATCCCAGACTCACTGGGTGATTTTTTTTTTTTCCTGATTGTTATTGGTTAACTAACAGTCAAAAAAAAAAAAAAAAAAAACCAAAAAAACCCACTACTTCATTTGCCTCATTTTCTCTGGTTAAAAGGTCCAACTTTTATTGTTTTATGTCCCTGATTTAATCTCTAGGAGCCGACTTTCTCATCTTTTTGGTAATATACAATCTTAGTTCAGTGATCTATATGGTAGCAATGGACTAACAAGTACTAGGCCTCCTAGCTCTAACTATAAATTCAATACACTACAGAGCTGTGAATAAATAGTATTTATTTCACATGCTTTATAGATGCTGCACTACTAAGTCTTAGAGAGATGAGTGTCTTAGCTCTATAGATTCAGAACTATTAAAGAATAGTTCAAACCCACAGAAGTTGAGTGACAGACTTGAAACATGACCTCAGAGAATTCTGCCTACCACTCCCCAGCATGCCTGATCAGAGAAGGCAGACCAGCCTCCAGAAAACCAAAGAAGTTTCATGAAGGCATCGGGGTTGGACATATTCACAAATTGAATGGCTTCAAAGGGAGAAGATATAAAACCCATAACAGAAATTTCCAGTGTGGATTAAAAATAAATAATCAGCTATCAGCAGAATTACTTTGAGTCCTAAAAGAACTGTAGGACACCAACTCTTTTCTCTAAATAGCAATTATCCAAGATACTAGTTGCATTCAGTCTGAAAGAGAATCTCATGGAATAATCACCTTCAAATAACTAAGCCATGCTGTTAGCAATCTTTTCTGAGATAAAACACAGTGAGGCAATGCTGCCCCTCATAATGTATGAACAAGGGCCTCATAAGAATATCTTTATTGCTCAGTTGCCCAAGTGAGCCTGGGAAGAGACTTCAGACCACTCAAGCTTTCAGCAAAGAAGAGCAACTACTGCCTTGGCTCTTTGTCCCCAGGGAAAAGCATTTCTGTACTTTCCAGGCTGTGACCATGGTGCTATGGATACAGGAGTCTCATGAATCTACACCTGCTTGCTGCAAGCTCCTGGGAACTAAAGTCTGAAATGGCTGATGACTTACCAAGGTGAGCTGAAAGCCTTGACTTCTTGCAGTGGAAAGCTAGCTCCTGTTGGCAGTGGTCTGCCTGGTCAATTAGGGCCTGGAGTTGGTCCATGCTGGCCATGTACTTGAAAATCACAGGCTGTGGGCTTTCTCCATGAGAGCTTTTGACTCTGGCCAGGTGGGAGCCATTGTGCTGCACTGAAGTCCATGCAGAGTCTTGTGGGCAGAAAGGGGTTGGGAGGGAGAAAGCAGAACTTGACTAGGCTGAAATACCTGAAATGGGTATGAACATCAGAGGCATCTCTTATCTGAATTAAGGTTTTTTAATCATCAAATCTCTGAGATTAAGAACAGCATAATTGGAATTCTTAAGATATCAGTATTAAAATTTGAAGGTTTATTGAAATTTACATTACTGTGTATTTGCAGGAATTATCTTTGGTGAAATCTGTTTGACAATTTAGTCAACATTGCTAAAAGGTCCACTTGTGAATTTCTGTGATATAATACCACAAGTTATAAATATTTATATTTTAATTCTAATTTGTTATATATTATATAACAGAAGAATGCATTATAATTCATATTATACATATAGAGCACAGTTTTTTATATCTCTGGTTGTACACAAAATAGTCACATCATTCATGTCTTCATACATGTACTTAGGGTAATGATGTTCATCTCATTCCACTGTCATTCCTACTCCCATGCCCCCTCTCTTCCCCTCCCTCCCTTTGCTCTATTTAGAGTTTATCTAATACTCCCATGCTTCCCCACAACCCCATTATGAATCAGCATCCTTATATCAAATAAAACATTTGGCATTTGGTTTTTTGGGACTAACTTCACTTAGCATTATATTCTCCAGCTCCATCCATTTACCTGCAAATGCCAAGATATTATCATTTTAAGAAGCATAATCTTTTCCAGATCAAGTACCCAGGTACCTTTTTCTTAGAAAATCAAATGTTTGTATAACAGACACATTTGTGGAAGAAAAAGTCTATATAATAATGAAAAATAATATAAAATCAATCTTTTGAGGTGTTGGGGATTAAACTCAGGGTTTTGCGTATGCTAGAAAAGTGCTTTACTACTGAGCTACAGTCCCAACCCTAAAATAAATATTTTTGATTAAAATTGACTAGTATGGCATCAGCAACTAATTCTGTGGTCAATACTAAAATACACAAGACATTTGAACATCTAATATACCTATTCCTGGTAATAACCACAGTGACACCAATGTCAGCTGACAAATTCTGACATATTTCTGTTACATTACCTATTTTTTAATGAAGGAAATTAGAAAAAATGAAAATACATTCCAAAATGTTTATGGAAGGAAAAAACTTTTGACTTCTCTCACTTTCTCCCCCAATTCACCTTATATCATAAAGGTATAAAAGCTTACTTCAATGGTATAAAGCTGACTTGAAGATGCCTTAACTCTTCTCTATAACATCAAGTCACATGACCACCTCTGTATAATGTGAACTTGATAAAATGATGAGTTTCTCTTTCTATAGAAAAATTCCAAGTTACTGAAGACACAAAACAGTTCTGTACAGAGTTTATTTTTATTCTCTTTAATGGCTGCTACACAAACAAGATTTAAAAATCAAAACAAAAGGAACCCCCAGAGAAGTCCCCATAGGACCCTGCCCCTGCTGTGGAGACCTAGCACCTGGCTTATCTTCCATACCATGTAGCAAGGGACAAATCTGACAGCCACATTGCTGTTTATAGGTCTGAAATGCAGCAGATAAAGACAGAAATCCAAGAACTCCAGGGTCAGGGAAAAGAACTTTGGCTCAAAGCCTGTGAAAAGCAAGGTCACAAAATATCCGAAAACTAGCAAGAACCAGAACAAACTGTGAACTGGCAGGAATAAAGTCCATTTTATATTCAATGGCATTAGAATAAAAGACTTAAAAGGTCATCACCCTCTCTGTTGGCTAAAGGAGGCTATGAGTATTCTTATAGCCACTTGAATTCCATAGTATGTTTTTCCCCTTTAATTGTATTTTCACTGGGCAATTTGTATTTCAACATATTCATGAAAAATTACATAAATGAGGTGGCATTTACTTTCTGTAATTATCTAGTCTACCACAAGAAGGATTTAACAGTGTAAAAGAAAATAGGTAGAAGAGTGTGTAAGGCTTGGGAGTTCATCAATTACAATGCAATATTATCATTTATTTTCATGGTTTATGAAATAAAGGTAAACGATGTGCCTTAACAGTTCATAAAGGCTAGTGGTCAGTGTGATAGATTTATGATCTTGCATCATTAAAACATAACAAAAGAAATCTCTTCCTTCAAGTACAAAAGAGGAGACAATTGAAAATAATCTCTCAAACTATTCTTCCAAAAAAAAGAATCATAATTTAAATGATTGCTCTTTATAGTGAGATTATATGAAAGGTCCCAAGTAAAAACACCAGGTTTCTCTAATATTTCACAACAAATAACTTTCATGAATCTCAAAAACTATTACCTATAAGAGAACTTTGAGATCACATAATATGATTTAGTTTTCAAGGATGAGGAAACAGACAAAAGAATTTAAGAGAACACCACTTTGAAACAATAAATAGCTGCTCTGTAGTCTGAATAGCCAGATAGAACTGAGGAAATAATTTTAACTGTGGGCAAATTTTAAAAGAAGTTTTGAACTATCACAAGAAAACATGTTCCTCCAACTTGCTGGAACCCCTTTCATCTGCATTCATACAGGGTGACCATTGGCAGCACCTAGTCCACCCTCTAAAGTTCAGGCAAATAAACATGCAGCTAAATTAACTTGATGGTTTGGTTTGATTAAGCCTGATACAAACAACAACACTGACACTATATTATACAATATCCCTTGGCTTCTGTTTATTTTGCTAAAGTATTTCTGCTTTCCAATTTTTGAAACTGTCCACAGAGTAATACACCTTTGAGCTACATAAGGAACATTTACAGGAAAAAAAAATTGTCTTGATGACTAAGAAACATGTTTATTTTTCACATTCAAGTATGCAAATATCCTAAGCACATCTGCTATGCTCATGTCTACCTCTCCAAAAAGAAGAAAGAGCTCACTAAGAAAAAAATCAGATGCATTTAAAATTAATAGATCTGTCACTCATGGAAATTGATTCTGATACTTTGGAAACTGAGTCAAGGGAAGATGCCTAAAAGAGAAGTCCAATACATGTCTACACACCACCTTGGAGATGAAGCCAACTGCCTACATTTCCCCTAATGAGGAACGGGTGTACAAATTCAGAGAAGTCTAGGACAGCAATGTGTCTACATAAAGTAACTTGTAACATTATATCTTCAGATAAAAAACTGTTCAAAAAAATTACACTCAGTATCATGAATAAGGACACACTTTAAAATCACTAGCAGCCACCCTGCATGTACAAGGAAAGTTGGTCACTGTATTGTGTCTCTGAGAAGTGAAGCCCCATGACAGCTTTCTCCAAAGTTCTTCCACTATCTTCCTATTCAGAGAGAAACACAGGTTAGAGATGGCTGTTATCTTTTATTAAATCCAACTCTCTTACTTTACAGATGAGTAAATGGAGGCCTAGAAAATTTACTTGCCCAACTTAATGAAATGATTCAACTTCACCACACATTTCTGGGCAACTTAGTGCTAGTCACCAAACTTTCTGAATTAGAAAAGATGTTCAAAGATGGTGGAGGTCTGAGGGCTTCCTAGGTACCTTCTAAACTAAACCCTATCCTGTATTTCATATGATAAAACTCCAGTAGAAAATAGAACAACAGAACTACATCATGGACATTCATGTTCACATATAAGACATTGGTCAACCCATTACTGTCTCTGCCCTAAATCTCAGAGTTACTGGGCTCCACCATATTATCCATTTGTCAAAGCCAAGGATGATTTGGTATCTGTGCCTTACTGAATTGAAGGGCTATCAGCTCTAAGTGATAGTTTTCAGGCTCCTAGTGATGGCCTTCAGAGCGCAGCTCAGATCCCAGAGTCCTGGGAAAGTACAGGGTGTGATGGCTCCACAAATGTGGGTCCTTTAGATCAGTATTTATATTAGGGGACTGTCATTCTTGTTGTGGATTCTTGGGATTTTCCATGATTTACCTGAATATTTTCAACACAGGAAGATTCAGTGAGATGTACCTAGATCCCTACCACTCCACAGCATCAACAGCTCTCTCCTGAAAGTTCACTTAAAAAGATTTCTGGGGCTGGGGATGTGGCTCAAGTGGTAGTGCACTCGGCTGGCATGCACGAGTCACTGGGTTCAATCCTCAGCACCACATAAAAATAAAATAAAGATGTGTCCACCGAAAACTAAAAAATAAATATTAAAAAAATTTTCTCTCTTTCAAAAAAAAAAAAAAGAAAAAGATTTCTGTTCTTCACAGCCTCATTCCCATGACATTGAAAAGCATGTCATTTCAGTTTCTAAGTCACATCGAACAAAAATCATTTGTTCATAGAGAACATTGTGTATACACTTATAAAATCAGATATAGACAGAACACTATGCCATCATCAATAGAAAGTATGAATTATTATTTATCATCTTGGAAAAGTAAAAAAAAGTGAATTTCTCTGAGCCTCAATTTCTGTTTAGTAAATGAAGAGACTGGGTCAAGAGGTGTCTAAGACTTAAAGTTATTATTCTAGACATGTTAGACTATTAAGGCCACTATAGAAAACGGCTGTTTAAGAAACACTTCATCTTGGTTTTCATAAGAGTGACTGAATGGGTGTTAAAAATGAAGTGTCTGTTCAGCTCCTTAGCCCATTTATTGTTTGTTTTTATTTGTTGTTGTTGTTTTTTTGTATGTGTGTGTGTGTGTGTGTTTGTTAAGTTTTTTGAGTTCTTTATACATACTGGAGATTAGTGTTCTATCTGATGTGTGTGTAGCAAAAATTTGCTCCCAAAATGTAGGCTCTCTCTTCACCTCATTGTTCCTTTTGCTAAGAAGCTTTTTAGTTTAGATCGTCCCATTTATTGATTCTTGATTTTATTTTTTGAGCTCTAGGAGTCTAGATAAGAAAGTTGGGGCCTAATCTGACACTTCTCAGAAGAAGAAATACAATCAATCAACAAATATTTATATATATATATATATATAAATGTTCAACATCTCTAGCAATTAGAGAAATGCAAATAAAAACTACCTTAAGATTTCATCTCACTCTAGTCCGATGGCAGCTA